GTGCGCGCGCGCGTCTTCAACTCCCCCGGTCGTAAAACCTCAACGGAAGACGGGTGTTAAAATGCTGCTGACAGGATCGCCTGAAACATGTTTACAGTAGGAAAGACTTTCCTCCAAAAGCACCGCCTGAGTCGATTCCAATTTATTTCCTCCCTGTAACTGTAACCGAAAGGCGAGGCGCGGCCGCGGCGGCGGAAGGAGGCTGAGCACCATCAATCGTCGCCGCGTCCCCGCCGAGCTCAGCGCAGGAGCAGTGGCCGTGCCTGCGCCACCGAGCGCGGCGGCCCCGGCCGAGGGAAACCATTTTTTAAGGCGGAGGGGTGGCCTTTGCTCGTCCTTAAGCAGTGCGCGCCGTGTCTCCAAAGCCGCTGTCCAAAACGGAGCGCGGCTGGCCGGGAAACTGCCTTCTGACTCGTGCCTGCTGCCGCAAGATGATACGGACGTGGTAACTGATAATCTCCCGGGTTCAGTTACTGGGTCCAAACGGGAGGCTAGCCTTGGCTTCCCCAGTCTCTGCGAGCCTCTGACAAGTGAACAGGCGGCCGTTGGTTGCCTTAAGTTTTGATTTACTGGGGGGGGGAAAGGGGGGGAATCATCTGAATTCGCCGACACACCCTATTAACCGCTGATCGCTTAAACTGCTACCCAAGGAAGGCAGGGTAGTGGAGGATGATAGGGGTTCGGGAGGAGGAGGAGGGGAAGAAGAAAGAAGTCTGACCATCCCCACGTTTTCCCACGTCTCCCCGCGGGCGTAGGGAGGCTCAGCGCTGCCACCTGGCGGCTGCTTCCCCGCAGATTGGCAGCCCTCTGGCCGCGGAGCAAACCCAGACCCCGGGCGGGGGCTGCCTTGCCCGGGCCTCCAGAAAAGTAGGAAAGTTCGAATTCATGCTTCAGATCCACGTGACCCAGGCAGAAATTCGTTTTCTGCTTGTGCTCGTGAGAAAATGGAAAGGAAAGGAAAAGGGAGTTGGCATTGCCAGAAAGTGCTTGCTTAATCCTACCAGGCGCTACCTCAGTGGTTAGGAGGGGAGAGAAAGTGGCAAAAATTATTAGACAGTCTTGCCTCTTAGCTTATTCTAAGAGTAAAAATAAATCATGGGTTTAATTTTGCCCCAGACTCCCTATTTTAGTATTTTGTAAATAAGAGTTACTTCCATGTTATTTTTCAATACAAACCCTGAAAGGGAAGTCCAGTTCTAATAAAACTTCATGAGCCCAAAAAGGATGAAGTGGAAGTTTTATTTGCCTCTTGATTAGAACTAAATCAGCCTCCGTTGGAGGGTTCTTTTCCCTCAAGTGTGGAACTGAAAACCCTGTGCCTTTCAGTTGACAAAGTCCAATGACATCAAATTTCCCAGGGCTGCTTCCCTGCCTGCTAAAGTAACAAAGACTGGGGGGGGGGGTGTCCCCACCCCCTCTATTTCATTGGAACTGAATACTTGTCAGGTTAGCCAGCTCCCACAGTCATGGTTTCTATAGCCAAGGCAAGGCAAAATCTTGCAAATCAGTGCAAATCCAGGAGATTTGTTAAACTAATTTCCCTTCAGTTCCCCCCTCAATGCTATAGGAATATATTAAGCAGTGGGACAGAATCTTATTTCCACCTATACCCCATACCATTTATGGATGTGAGACTTTATGCTGTACCGGTGTGTGAGAGCAGAAGAAATGAATTAGCTGATATTACATCTCAAACAGAATCCCATTATTTAATGGAAAATAAGATAATTTACCTTCATTCAAAATTTGAAATGTCTAACATCAGGGCCAATAAAGACAACTAGTTTATTATTCTAAAACAGGATTTTTTTTTTTTTTGCAAAATTATCTTGGTTTACTGTTAATATGGCTTAAAGAGTAGCATTAAGAATTTCTTCATGTACTGCAAAGCCAGCAGAGGGAACAGTGAGTACTGATTTAGTAGGGGCCACCAAATATCTGGTATTTGGGGAAAAAAAAATGTCAGTAACGGAGAACTGGTTACAAAGCATATGAAGTTAGGTAATGAGAACACAGAAATCTTTTCTCATTACTTGATATTCAGGGGCCCAGTACATTCCAGCATGCACATGTTTACTCAGTTGGTGAGAAAGATGGACTTTAATAAAACCCATTTGTCAAACGTTTTCTTACATTTGAGAATACACAGAAGAACAAGCCTACTTTAAGAGTCTAAGCATTCATATATACTATAATACAGCCAATGAAAATTACTAGTACCGTATTTCTTCAGTTCTAAGTACTTGTCCTTTTCATTTTCAACATCTCTGGAATAAGGAGAGGTCTCACAACCAGGGGCATGTCAATGTCTCATTGGCAGTTTTCCTTCCTTAGTTGCATGTAACAATGGTGTGTCTTAAAATCTACCAGATTTGTTAAAATACAGAAAATACATCTCACAATAGAAATAGGCCAGTGGCTATTTTTTTAGTATCTACTTTTAAAAAAAACCTATGTGCAGGGCACCTGGCTGGCTCAGTCGGTGGAGTCTGCAACTCTTGACACCTTGGGGTTGCGAGTTTGAGCTCCACGTTGGGTGTAACGATTATTTAAAAATAAAAATCTTAAAAATAGATAAATAACCTGTGTGCTTTAAGCATAAACAAAATTACTAGGACTGCTTTGATTAAATCCCACTTTCCCCCATGATTTTCAGTGGTGGAATCAAAACTGGCTGTAAAAAATGTAATCAATTATATTGATAGTCACCTTGACTGACTTACCACAAACTAGCTACAGTCTCAAATCATTACTTGGTACAAATCCCAAAATAAATGAAGTATTTATTCCCTTTTTTTTATTCTAGTGAAGATACTGATTTTATAAATAATAGACGTCTTAGAGTAATTTTTATGTCAGAGTATAACATTTAGGATTGCTCAGGTGTTTTAGTGTGCACACCAAGGCAAATAAAACGCATGATGACACATCCAACTTTGTTACATGCAAAAAAAGGTGCCTTGTGGGTTTTTGTTTAAGATTTCTTCCCCCGTCTGAAAGAAAAAGTATATAACTTGGGTAGTTAATGGTCAAAAATTATTTGCTTTTACTCACAAAAACATGCTTGCTTGTGGTTGATCCTTACAGATCCAGTCAGATGTCTCCAAAGGGTGTTCTTTCCAGTAAAATTCTAAATCCGACAACCTGGGCCTCTGGCTAGCCTACGTACTTTAAAAGTTTGACAAGATAAATAGAAATCTGCTGCCTAGCACTAATTTGATCTGAATCAAAAGCTCACTTAATTTTGTTGGGTTGGCCCTACCAACCACCTATCCCTGGCCTGTAGAAAAACAGTTTACTATTACGGCGTTAAGAAAGACCGATTTTTACTAGAACTCTAATTTTCACACCATGGAATAGAGGTAAATTTTGTGGCCAAATAAACATGTATTCTGATTACCTGGCAAATTCTCCACAATAGTCTTCACAAAGTTCCTTTTGTTTAAAATCATTAAGACTACAGGATTGCTACTGTTGTCCTTGTAGGGTTCACATAACATAATCTGAGATTACTTTTCAAATTGCTTGGTGGGTAGAGCATGCTACTCTTGATCTCAAGGTCCTGAGTTCAAGCCCCACGTTGGGCATGGAGCCTACTTAAAAAAAAAAAAAAAAAAATCAGTGACCATCCTCAACTTGGGTCTCCTGAACAACAACATGCCGCTTCTACTAGAAGGAGTGTCTCTGGCATTTGAATTACCAAGAGAAAGATAACAGCATTCACTGAGGGCTTAAAATGCATCAATCTCATCGAACCCTCATAACAACCCTTATATAAAGTAGCTCTTGGTGTTCCCATATCACAGATGAGGAGAACTGAGACTTAACCATCTCTGCAGAGTACAAAACCAGTAAGAAAGACTAGCATCTAGGTCTAATATAAATCCAGAGGCTCCAGTGTCTTCTGCTACCAGTCACACCACATCCTTCTTTCCCTTTGCCTTGACCTTTTAGCTCAATTTGATTCAAGTAACATAGGAGGAATATATAGGAGAAAATACATGAAGGAAAGAAGTCAGAAGGGTTTGGGTCAGGGAGAGAGTGCAGTAATCTTTAGTGTTGAAAATGGGGGAAACAAATATTTAGAAAGTAAAAACGATCCCAATCTTTTACCCGACATTACCATCCTGTACGAAACTCTACGGAAATTCTCCCCTTAAGTATGGAACACTGTGTAATGTGTTCCAATGGAAAGCTCCTCTGTTTGGTCTATCCAGGATTTATAGGGGAGTTTAAATCATTAAATAACCATAGTTAACCCCTGTTTCGTTAAGAGAGCAAGCAATTACTGCAAAAATTCCTCTTCTCTGCCTTCCACAAACAGCACAAATATTACTCTGAAGGGATTTACATAATACATCAACATCTGTGCTGTACCTAGAGCTGTTAAAATAATTGTGATGACAGGTGTCTAGGTACCACTTTCTTAATGGTTTTCAATATCCATTGATTTATAGTTGCGGCTTTCCTTCCCCCTTTTTACATCCTTGGCTTTATGAAGGATCCGAGGAACAGATTTTGCACTAGAGGCTGATTCTTTATTCCAGTACTGAAAAGAACTAATAAAAATAATCACTTGGCTTTTAAGCAGAAAGCTTCCATTTACAGTATTTCACCCTTACCGCCCCCCCCACTTCCAAGCCCCTTGTTATCTAACATAATGGTTAGAATACATTTCCGTCTCTCCCCTTAATAATTTCATGCATTAACATCCTCTTTACACACCACACACACACACACACACACACACACACACACACACACACACACAGCAAAAGGAAAAAAAAGGCAGCAGAAATCTCAGCTGTACTTCTAGCCCTTTTAAAAAGTTTGCTCTGTAAATTGGAATGAGGTCAGATTTGGAGCTTCTCATTGCACGCGGAGATTATTATTGCATCGGGTTCCAAGCCAATGGGAAGCCCGGGGGAGGGGCTTGGCACGAGGAAGCGTTGGTTACAGCAGCTGATTGGCCGCGGCCAAGACTGTGAAAGGATAAAGAGGCGCGAGGCGGAATTGGGGTCTGCTCTAAGCTGCAGCAAGAGAAACTGTGTGAGGGGAAGAGGCCTGTTTCGCTCCCGGGTCTCTAGTTCTTGCACGCTCTTTAAGAGTCTGCATTAGAGGAACTCTGCCATTACCAGCTCCCTTCTTGCAGAAGGGAGGGGGAAACATACATTTATTCATGCCAGTCTGTTGCACGAAGGCTTTTTGGCTTCCTACCTTGCAACAAAATAATTGCACAAACTCCTTAGTGCCGATTCCGCCCACAGAGAGTCCTGGAGCCAGAGTCTTTTTTGCTTTGCATTGTAGGAAAGGGACTAAGTGATAGAGACTATGTTGCTTTCCTGAGCTCCTGAGAGCGCTCGTGAACTGGAACCAACTGCTTCAGGGGAAGGAAAAAAAAAAAAAAAAAGACTTGCCTGGGAGGCGGCGAGAAACTTGCATTGGAAGCTTCAGCAACCAGCATTCAAGAAACTCCTCTCCACTTTATAACACGGTCTCCAGACTCAGAGCCGAGAGACAGAGCAAACTGCGGCGCGGTGAGAGAGAGAGCGAGAAAGAGCGAGAGCGAGAAGCAGAGGGAGGGAGAGACTCTCCAGCCTGGGAACTATAACTCCTCTGCAAGAGGCAGAGTACTCCTTCCCCGCATCTTTTGGAGACTTTTCTCTCTGCGCCCACCACCGCCCCGGCCAGGAGTGGAGGGGCCCGCACGGCCGCCGCGCGCGTCCTCCCGCTCGGCGTGTGCTTGGCCCGGGGAGCCGGGAGGGCCCGGCGATCGCGCCGCGGCCGCCGCGAGGGTGTGAGCGCGCGTGGGCGCCCGCCGAGCCGGGGCCATGGTGCAGCAAACCAACAACGCCGAGAACACGGAAGCGCTGCTGGCCGGCGAGAGCTCGGACTCGGGCGCCGGCCTCGAGCTGGGCATCGCCTCCTCCCCCACGCCCGGCTCCACCGCCTCCACGGGCGGCAAGGCCGACGACCCGAGCTGGTGCAAGACGCCGAGCGGGCACATCAAGCGGCCCATGAACGCCTTCATGGTGTGGTCGCAGATCGAGCGGCGCAAGATCATGGAGCAGTCGCCCGACATGCACAACGCCGAGATCTCCAAGCGGCTGGGCAAACGCTGGAAACTGCTCAAAGACAGCGACAAGATCCCTTTCATTCGGGAGGCGGAGCGGCTGCGCCTCAAGCACATGGCTGACTACCCCGACTACAAGTACCGGCCCAGGAAGAAGGTGAAGTCCGGCAACGCCAACTCCGGCTCCTCGGCCGCCGCCTCCTCCAAGCCGGGGGAGAAGGGAGACAAGGTCGGTGGCGGGGGCGGCCATGGGGGCGGCGGCGGTGGCGGGAGCGGCAACGCGGGGGGAGGAGGCGGCGGCGCGAGTGGCGGCGGCGCCAACTCCAAACCCGCGCAGAAAAAGAGCTGCGGCTCCAAAGTGGCGGGCGGCGCGGGCGGCGGGGTCAGCAAACCGCACGCCAAGCTCATCCTGGCGGGCGGCGGCGGGAAGGCGGCGGCCGCGGGCGCCTCCTCCTCCTTCGCGGCCGAGCAGGCGGGGGCCGCGGCCCTGCTGCCCCTGGGCGCCGCCGCCGCCGACCACCACTCGCTGTACAAGGCGCGGACTCCCAGCGCGGCGGCCTCGGCCTCCACGGCCGCCTCCGCCTCGGCCGGCCTCGCGGCCCCGGGCAAGCACCTGGCCGACAAGAAGGTGAAGCGCGTTTACCTGTTCGGCGGCCTGGGCGCCTCCTCTTCGCCCGTGGGCGGCGTGGGCGCGGGCGCCGACCCCAGCGACCCCCTGGGCCTGTACGAGGAGGGGGGCGCGGGCTGTTCGCCCGACGGGCCGAGCCTGAGCGGCCGCAGCAGCGCCGCGTCGTCGCCGGCCGCCGGCCGCTCGCCAGCGGACCACCGCAGCTACGCCAGCCTGCGCGCCGCCTCGCCCGCGCCGTCCAGCGCGCCCTCGCACGCGTCCTCGTCGGCCTCGTCCCACTCGTCCTCGTCCTCGTCGTCGGGCTCCTCGTCCTCCGACGACGAGTTCGAAGACGACCTGCTCGACCTGAACCCCAGCTCAAACTTTGAGAGCATGTCCCTGGGCAGTTTCAGCTCGTCGTCGGCGCTGGACCGGGACCTGGATTTTAACTTCGAGCCCGGCTCCGGCTCGCACTTCGAGTTCCCGGACTACTGCACGCCCGAGGTGAGCGAGATGATCTCGGGAGACTGGCTCGAGTCCAGCATCTCCAACCTGGTCTTCACCTACTGACGGGCGCGCGCGCGGGCTGGGAGGAGAGGGCCGGGGGGCAAGGGGGGGGGGAAAGGAAGAAGAGAGAGAAGTGGACAGAGAAAGAGTTGGAAGAGAAAAGGGAAAAAAGAAAAAAAAAAGGAATAGAAAAAAAAATGAGCGGGGCCGCGTTCGGCCGCGTCGCGGTCGCCGGAGAGAGAGGAGCGCGGGGGGCGTTTTGGGGACCCGCGCTCCCATCCCCCACCTCCCCGACCGCAGGGACGCGGAGGAGGCGGCGGGGAGAGGAGGGGGCGACCTTTTATTGTTGTTCTTGATGTTGTTGTTGATGGCAAAAAAAGCTACTTGGAGTTTCCTCCCCTTTGCCCGAAGAGACCCCCCCCCCCACTTCCAGCGAGCTTCCGGACTTGTCTGCTGCACCCCCAGCAAGAAGCCGACTTGGTAGTTTTTCTAGAGACTGAAGGAATCTCGTCCCTTTTTTCATCGCCCCCTTGCTGTTTTTGTTTTATTTTATCTCATTTCTTGGTCAAGAGAGGAGGGAAAAAGAAAAGAAAAGAAAGAAACCCAACGCGCCCCTGGGGATTTAGTTCTCAGCACCCCCGCCATCCCCTCCCCCTGAAGAAGACAGAAGGCTCCGGGCGTGGAATTGGACCGACGGCAGATATTTTGGGGGGTCGCGCAGGCTCGAGTGCCAGGACAGAGACTCCACGCTGGCGGATTCCCGTTTTGTTGGGTTTTTCCTCCTTTTTCCCTTTCTTTCTTTTTCCTTTCTTCCTTCCTTTTTTTTTTTCTTTTTTCCCCCCCCCCCCCCCCCCGCAGCCAGAGGAGAAGCGGAGAGCCCGGCGAGGGGCGCGGGGCGGGGCGCGGGGGGGGGCCGCGGAGGAACTGGGACGGATTTGCACGTTCGGGGGCAGGTGGCGCGTCCTGGCGGCCCCCGCACCCCGCACCCCCGAAATCAGTGAGGTGAGACTCCGCGGCCCGCGGGCGTGCAGGAGAGCGGACTGTTTGATGTGGTACCGGGGGCCGTGCAGGGGCGAGTGGTTTCGGGCGGGGGGGAAAAAAAGAGGTTTTTTTCTTCTCTTAAAATCGGAATCGTGATGGTGTTGGATTATTTCACTGGTGGGGTTAATATAGCATGTTATCCTGTCTATCTTTTAAAGATTTCTGTATAAGACTGTTGAGCAGTTTTTAAAATAGTGTAGGATAATATAAAAAGCAGATAGATGGCGCTATGTTTGATTCCTACAACAAAATTATCACCAGCTTTTTTTCATTCTTAACTCTTTAAAGGATTCAAACGCAACTCAAATCTGTGCTGGACTTTAAGAAAAAAAAAAAAAACACAATTCAGGACCAAATTTTTTCTCAGTGTGTATGTGTTTATTCCTTATAGGTGTAAATGAGAAGACGTGTTTTTTTCCCTCACCGATGCTTCATCCTCGTATTTTTTTTCCTTGTAAATGTAATCAGATGCCATTTTATATGTGGACGTATTTATACTGGCCAAACATTTTTTTTTCTTATTTTGTCCCTTTTTTATTTTAACCTTTGGTTTACTTTTTTTTTCTTTGTTTTCTACTTCCTTTATTTCTTCCTTCCTTTTTTTCTTTTGTTCTTTTTTTCTTCTTTCTTCTTTTTCTTTTTTTTTAGTAGTTTGTTGTTACCCACGCCATTTTACGTCTCCTTCACTGAAGGGCTAGAGTTTTAACTTTTAATTTTTTATATTTAAATGTAGACTTTTGACACTTTTAAAAAACAAAAAAAGACAAGAGAGATGAAAACGTTTGATTATTTTCTCAGTGTATTTTTGTAAAAAATATATAAAGGGGGTGTTAATCGGTGTAAATCGCTGTTTGGATTTCCTGATTTTATAATAGGGCGGCTGGTTAATATCTCACACAGTTTAAAGAATCAGCCCCTAATTTCTCCATGTTTACACTTCAATCTGCAGGCTTCTTAAAGTGACAGTATCCCTTAACCTGCCACCAGTGTCCACCCTTCGACCCCAGTCTTACAAAAAGGGGAGGAGAATTAGCCAAACACTGTTAGGCTTTTAAGAAAAGACAAATTTTTTAAATAAAATGCCGTTCTGTCCAGAGGCTTTAAAACTGGTGCATTTACAGCAAAAAGGGATCCTGTAGCTTTAACTTGTAAACCACATCTTTTTTGCACTTTTTTTATAAGCAAAAACGTGCCGTTTAAACCACTGGATCTATCTAAATGCCGATTTGAGTTCGCGACACTATGTACTGCGTTTTTCATTCTTGTATTTGACTATTTAATCCTTTCTACTTGTCGCTAAATATAATTGTTTTAGTCTTATGGCATGACGATAGCATATGTGTTCAGGTTTATAGCTGTTGTGTTTAAAGATTGAAAAAAGTGGAAAACATCTTTGTACATTTAAGTCTGTATTATAATAAGCAAAAAGATTGTGTGTATGTATGTTTAATATAACATGACAGGCACTGGGACGTCTGCCTTTTTAAGGCAGTTCCGTTAAGGGTTTTTGTTTTTAAACTTTTTTTTGCCATCCATCCTGTGCAATATGCCGTGTAGAATATTTGTCTTAAAATTCAAGGCCACAAAAACAATGTTTTGGGGGAAAAAAAAAGAAAAAAGAAAAAATCATGCCAGCTAATCATGTCAAGTTCACTGCCTGTCAGATTGTTGATATATACCTTCTGTAAATAACTTTTTTTGAGAAGGAAATAAAATCAGCTGGAACTGAACCCTAAATCTCGACTTTTGTCATTATTATATGCCCAGAGCCTAAGATTGGGAGGGCCCACCCGGGTAGAAGCTACCCCATCTGCCTTAGCTCTGAGCAACTTCTCCGAGGGTAGCCTGTTCAATGCTTTCTTCCTGAGGAATACCAAGTTCCTCTTGGCCAGATTTGGCCAGCCCAGACCCTGACATGACAGCGTCAGCTTGAATTATGTGTCAACTCTACACGCTTTCTAGGAATTTTCCGAGTTTACTACATTTAAATAAATGCCCTTTGTCTTGAAATTTAAAAAAGGGGGGGCGTGAAGGGCAATGCGGAGAGGCTTCTTTACAGATGAAAAGTGGCTGGCTGATCTGTATTTTAACCTGTGCCTAAAGCTGCTTTCTCCTCCACTTGCCAGTAGTTACCATTCAGCGGTGGCTAGAATCGTTGTACACGGATCAAGAACAAATACGCCCGTTAAATTATTGCTATATTTACGGAGGAGGAAGCCATCACTAATTTCGAAATGGAAAAGTTGTATAAATTTTTCCCTCTGAAGCAGAAAGACTCACAAGGTGCTAAAAATCTCCATTTTGTGCCATGCCCATTTTTGTGGGTTCTTGATATGAGAGATGCAACAATAGGGATGACCTGGAGAAGTGGGCTCCCTGAGGGCTGAGAGGAAATCAGCCCTCCTCCTGGATCTGTGAATAGCACGCATTCAGCTAGGGGAGATTTATACGTTTTATATGCATCTGGTACAGCAGTATTACTGAGACCTGTAGGCAAGGGGGAAAAGGCCCATTAGTACTCGGTTTGGAACCTGCAAATTGCTAAGTAGCACTATTTCCTGTTTACTTTGAGGGTTAACTCTTGCCATTAACTAACAAAACCCATCTTCACTTCCAAACGTTTGTTAATTAAAGATGTGTGCTCTGTATACCTTCTGGTTTTTTAGCACTGGAGAGAAGGGGTTAATGAGCAGAAGTGTTTGGAAATAATCCTTTAACCATCAGGATTGCTTGTAGGTAAGGCAGTATCCTGCATCCTAGAAGAAGAGATTTTTGGAGACTAGTACAAAACAAGCACATTTTTTTGTTCAGCGAAGAGCAGTAATCTCTGCCTCCAAAGTAGTTCAACTTTGTGTTTCAATATAAGTTCACCTTTTTAAAATTATTATAGCTACTAGTTTCCAATTTTTTCTTGTATTTTGCTAATATAGCTTTAATTGCATTTGTGTTCTGCAATGGTAAGATCTCATTTTTTAAGAAGACCTTAAGATAACATGGCATCTCGAGTCTCCTTCAAAAACCTTTGCAGAAGGAATGGGGGAGATTCTTTTTATAAAGTGCTTAAATTTAATTTCTGTTCCTTGTCGTTACAGTAATGTGATTGTTTCGTTTTTTCACATCCAAAGTATCAAAACCTTGACATAAGTGAAGCCTTTGTGATGCATTTTTTACATTTTATTTTGTAGGGTTCTCCTTCTGGAACTGTGTATTTGCCCTTTATTTTCCATGTAAGGCAGATAGATGCTTTGAATATTTTCTTGAAGAATTTTGATAATGTTCCTTTAAAAATAAAGGCTTAAATGTGTGTGTCTTCCTAGCAGGTGATAGAGTAACTGTGAGAAACATTTTTGTACTTTCCTCTGAAGCAGTTTTCTCATTCAGAAGGTATCCTAATGTGTTGGGGGGGCGGGGTAGAAGGCATAATAAACCTGAGAAATCAAACAGTTTAGTATGGCTTTTTCTTTCAGAACATTTGGGTCAGCAGAAAAGAATAAATTTCAGATTTCCTTTTAAGACCATCAAACCATTTTTCCTTAAATGCACTGCTTCTGGCCCTTTGGCTCCATCAGAAATGTGAATCAGTAATAGACTTGCTGATGCAAATTGTGTCACTTCCTAGTTGAGTACCTGTAAGTGCCAAGAAAAAATACAGAGCATGTAAGCTGATACGGTAGGCTGAGTGCCTAAAATGGCTTCTTGCATTTGTGCCCCCACTGCTCTGGGGACCGGGGTGGGGGTGCTGGGGACGCTCAGGGATTCTGAAGAAAGTGAAAGCAAAGGGTTGGGAAGTGGACACGGCAACATAAGCTACTAAGTATTTCCTGTATTTATAGGGTATTCGTGAATTAGAAACGGCGGTTTGGGGAATGCTAAGGGTCAGAATGTTTAATCATAAATTTAGAGAACAGTTTAAGGATCCCATGGAGGCATTGGAAAGATCCCTGTGTCCAGGAAAACTTAAGAATTATGCTGGAAATACAAACCCATCTTACCCATTTGGATTTCTCAGGGTGGAAGGTTGGTAGGCTTTATTTTTCTTGTGGTTTTGTTTTATGCCCCCTTTTTTCCCCCTTATTTGAGGCCTCTACACTACTTTTTTAACCCATATTTGCTAATATCTATCCTTGCCCGTCTTGTCCTGGAAAATTCTCTCCATATATGTTTCTAGATCTTTACTCTGGCTGTCTTTCAAAAACTAAAGTGGAGGGGGGGGTGCATGGTGTTTCAGACTCTGCTAAAAATCTACCAGATTCCCCTCTGTCCAGGAGAGAATGCAAAATTCACATGCTGCCCCTTAAGGCTCTTCACGAGATGGTTTTCGCCTGCCTAAGATCCTAAGTTCTTAAAAATAAATGCCCCAGAATCCGTGTCTTCCAGTCTGGTCCATGAACCCCGACATCAGAATTATCTGGACATTCTTGTTAAGGGCAGAGATTATAAAGATTATCAGACTCAGGTGGGGCCCTAATTGAACCCCCCCCATATATTTCCAATGTTCCCTAAGTTTGAGAATCCCTGCCCCCCCATGGTATTTTAGCATCTTCTCCCAGTAAGTATGCGGCAAGGCATTATTACTCCCTTTCGTTACATGGAGAAATTGAGTTCAGAGTGGCTCAGTGACTGGTCTGAGGTCCGGAGGTCAGAAGTGAGACAAAGGGCAGAGAAACTTCTTGAGCCAAGTTCTGATTTCCATACTAGATGTCTTCAGTGACCAAGAGACAGACTTTAGCCAAGGCCTCGGGCCTGTGGGCCCGGATTCTGTCAGCCCCCCAACTTGCAATCCACTTCCCAAGGATGCCCTCCTACCATCCTCTTTGCAAGAGCAAGATTAAGTGATGAGCTAGGTTGAATATTTGTACATATTCCAGTTCAACAAATGTGCTCAGATAAAAGATGAACTCAGAGACAAGTCTGGAAGAAGTAACTGGGACAGAGGAGAAGAGAACGGTAGAGATGCAGAGAGCGAAACTTCTGTTTGGTTGCCTCAAAGGCAGATTCCAGCAAGTGAGAAAATTGGAAATTATTCAGAGGAACGCATTCAGCCTTTATAGAGAGGGCTACAAGCTACCTATTATATCCTAATGAGATTGACCGTTGGCTACAGTTAACTTGAAGGGTTTTATGGTTTCCTGCATGTGTTGTTTTCCTTCTCAATGTTAAAAAGAAGAAGAAGGGAAAAAAAAGCCTCACATCACCAAGCGGTATTTCCCTGGGGCCCATTGGACCAGGCTGCTGCATTTCGGATTGTGCCTCTGTTAACAATGCACCCCCCTGCGTCGGTGTCAGAGGGTGCAGGTGATAATAAAGTTCGCCTATTTTATTTTCTTCGGACACTTTCCATCCGGGGCAGTTGGTTTATGGAGGACGGCCAAACACGCCAGGCCGAAGTCTGGTCACGAAAGGGAGATTCACCTAGGGCCTTCCTCTACCCTGTAGATTTTTGTCTAAGGACAACACCAGCTCATTTGTGCACCAGTACACAAAATTGCTTTGCGCACACGTAAGTCCTGCAAATGATATTCCGTTTGAGGTGGGTCGTTGTTTTGTTTTTTTTTTTTCCCCCAAGGGTAAGCCATAACAGAAGAACCAAATGAAATATCGTCGTTGAGCCTGCTTGGTTCCTTAGATATCTTCCCCCAGAAATAATTCTGTGGACTAGTTTTTAAACACATAACGAATGTGCTGTTTCCTGACACAATCTGCAGTTGAAAGACAGGAGGCAAATGAAAACACTATTATGCTCCATCCATGCTCCAGATAGTGAATGCCCAACAGTGTAGCCTGATGATTGGCTGAAGCGTATGGTGCATGTAACTGCTTTTCTAAGAGCTAAGCCGCCAAGCCTTGTTTAACAATCAATTAGCTCCAGTTGCATATGTGGTTAATTGCCACTTTCTTACCAGTGCTTGTCCTAACTTCCCCAGCTCCAACACCTAAAACCTGTGAAAATACCTCTTCTGGAACTCCTGACCTCCATCCTGGCCTCTGCTTTCTCCCTCTCCTTTCCCACACTCCCGATGTGGCCCTTTTATCTCTCTTGTTTGCCAAGCCCCTGAGACACTGAATAATTTATCTGAAGTTCCTGGGAAGTTGTGGGATGTTGGTCTAAAAACACATTGCACTTTGTTCCTCCCCCCTGGCCCGAGTCAGTCCAGAAGCCTCTCTTTGAAAGGAGAGATGCTAAATACATTTGAGGACTTGCTAACAGTTTTAATTTAGGTCTGGGGTGAGCACCCAATGAATCCAAAAGTTGGAGGGGGGAAAAAAAACTGGGGCGTGGGGGTGGGGAAGGTTTTGCCAGAGATGAAAAGTCCTTTGCATATCCCAAATAGGGTCACCCAAAGACTATTCCCAAATAATGTCTCAAAACGTTCACAGGTGTGCTGTGAACATATACCTTGTGGTCAAGTAGATTAAAAAACATTGGTTAGGAGGATCTCCAATTTTTATTGTTATAACTATTTGTGCAAACATGGGGAAGTTTTTCTTGAGTAGCTCTCAGAAAGGGAATTGCTAGAAGTTAGTGCCAGAAACATAGGCTTCTGATGGGTTTCCCATCCTGGAGCTGGTTAGGTGTAAAGTGGGTGTTGGCAACAGAAAAAAAAAAAATCATTGATAGGTCTAAGTGAACTAAGATTAAAAATTAAAACAACTCAAAAAATAAAAATTTAACCAAACCTTGAAAACAGTCCTTTCCCCCACCCCCAGAGAGGGTAGATAGATGATTGTCATGCATA